AATGACTAGCATATTTGTGATTTTTACCAGATTACTTTTTGCCATCTCAATAGAAAACAAAGATTATAATAATGAGAAGAAATAAACAAAAATGTATAAAATTATATCTATATACATAGGATAAAATATGTATTCGCAGAGGCTTCGAAGTGGGGGGGGGGGGTGTCAAAATTACTGCATAGTTATACTTTTTATTCACATATTTTTTATTAGTTAATCATAATCAATAAAAACAATCTTTGAAATAATAATAAAGAATTCATAGCTTTAGTCAATACTGACCACTTAGTTAGATTTTTATATTTTAGAGATGAAATAGTCATCCAAAAGTGACTGTGTAATTACTACCCAGCTGTTACCAAATTTGATTATGAACAAATATATAAAGTCCATATATAAAGAGAATAATATCAGTCTTATTATAAAGTCATGAATAACCTCAGTACCAAGTTTAAACCATCGAATCTCTCAATTCAATGATTTCTCTTTCATCATTATCAGGCAAAAACAAATTTTCTCGAAGGAAAAAAATTACAAAGTTATCTCTAAATTCATCTATGTCAAACTTTTGAGCTCTATCTATGACTTTCTGCACATTTAGTAGCGGACTTGTAATATGTTAAATGTTACAATAATTGGAAATGTTAGGAATTAAATAACTTCAGTTTTGAAATTATTTAATTCCTAACATTGACAACAATTTTTGACATTCAGTTTTTTGCAGTATGTATTACCTATCACTATTTCTCTCAATTACTGATCTCTTTAATTTCATTATTTTTCTATTTACCTTCATTTCCGATCATAAGAAATAGACAAGTCATAAAATTATAGAAAAGCCAATGAAGGTAGGATAGCCCCAAATGTAGGTCTTGGTGTACACCTAAAAATACTTTCATACAAACAATATACACTAGCTTCTCCGAATAGGTAAAAATGTAACAAAACCCAATTACTATTAAGAAAATTATAATGATAATTGCATAAGTAAATTACATTAATTTAAGGTAATTATTGTCATCACATAAATTTGTTTTAACATGGTAATGTTAATAGAATGAATGTTATGTAGAATAGCATTAAAAAGTTCTGGTTTTATATAGCAATGGAAACACCACATTAAATCAATATAATGTTAGTTTAATATTATTATATTTGATATTATTATTCCTGTTACAAAACATCTTCCATAATCATACATAACCCAAACATAACATCGTAAGTCACTGAAAATACTAGGTCAGTGTGCCCTCAAACTAAAAATTTCATAAGTTTGCAAAAACTTTTAAAAAGTTTATGATGAAAAAGATAGTATGGATAAAGCGGTAGCACATATATGATATATTTTAAAATTCTCATACGACTCATTCCCAGCTACTAAATGAAAACAATTTTTGTGTGATTGTAGACAACACAATTATAACCTTGTTATGAATGTGAATTATTTATAACCACGCTACTTCAACTTTTTTCCTAGTTTTAAGAACAATGATTTATAAAATATAATGTAGCAACAAAGTGTATGAATCTTACTATAAAATTAGGGCGTTAATTTATGAAGCCGTAATCTTGAAATAAGCTTTAGTCTTACCTCGTTGACACCTGAATCCTCGAGTGATCCTAGAGTCCGTTACAATTTCACACACTATAACTTCAATTATTAATTAAAAGTCTTTGAGATTGATAAGGTATAAATACTAAACACAACTTTTTGAACAGTTTTACAGAGTTTCAATACATAGAAAATAATGTTTTCACACAGAAAACAAAAAAATAATCACACGTTTGACGTTGCTTTACACTTCGCCATAATGTTGTTGCATTTTAGAGCGCCCTCTATTGATGACGATGTCGAAAGTATTGGTTATGTTGTTGTTGTTTTTTTTTTTAATAAAGGAATAAGGATTATGTCCATTTGTATTTTATTTACATTTTTATATTAGATACAACCTTCGATCAACAATACAAAATTACAGTTTACACTTTTAAAATGGTCTTCTTCAAAGATATTCATCAATTTCTCAAAAAAAAAAGCAAATTCTTAGAATGTCAAATTCACAAAAAGACAACTCACAACTGTTACAATACCGAAATAAAACATAATTCAAAAGTCGATCTCATGAATTAATATTTATGTTATATTTGTTTAATCTTTTTTAGCCTTTAATACCTACAGCACAAAATATGGTATCAGTATTATATCAATCAATCAGTATATTGATAAGAATAATATTATAATTCATACTATTTCTGTTGTAGAAGATTTTTTGTTCTATTTGTGTTAACAACGATTCTATGGACCATTTCATGAATGCTCGCTTACTTGATGCAAATGCCCTAGGGCGTGCTACCTATTTCTTCTTAGTGCCTTTTTACATGTTCGAACTCGCTTGCTCCTCGAAGCGGTCATTTCAAAACGTTCTTGTGTTCTAGCGATTTGAAAATATATTTTACCCAATGACGTTTTATCATTGATTTTTACCTATCCGATTTTGTCTGATTCGGTTTAGTTAGAGCATACACGAACCTATCCAACTTTGATATTATTTCGTCTATATATGATTCCCAGTTCATAAATTTATCCATTTTACACCCGAAAATGACGCCGTCTTTACAATATCATTTAATTTTATATTTAGCTTCATATTCTTACTATTTTTTGTTTTGAAATGTATAAACTTTGTTTTACTTGTATTAATTTGTAAATAATTAAATTTCAACAAGTCATGGCTGTGTTTTCTAGTGCCTCCTTGCTCTTTTCGTTTAAAATTAGTGTTATATCATCTGCATACAAAATGCATTGTTGCTTACAGACATCTGAAAGGTCATTTATATACAATAAGAACTACCCATGGCACACCACACCTATGAAAGCGATAACTAAATCGATAAATATCTTTATTATTTCAACGCGTCGTTGCCTATCCTTAAGATACTCTCTATCCAAGACAAAGCATTACTCCTGATTCCGTACCTCTCAAGTTTTCCAGCCAGCAATTTACCATTAACAAAATCAAAAGTCCGGGTCATACCCAAGAATACAGCTATCGTTTTTGCTCCAACATTTAAATTCTTAGATATATATTTGCCCAACTGAAAGCAGGCAAGTGCTGTAGAGCTAATCTTTCTAAATCCATATTTCTCAGTCTTTAGTACTTTATTTGTGTAATGAAAGATCTAATTAACCATTACCCTTTTAAATACTTTTGAAATAACTGAAACAACCGATAAGTCGTTAATTCTCTATATCATCCACTTTTGCTTGCTCCTTTTTTGTGAAGTGGCTCTGAAAGTTTTAATTTATAATGTGAAATAATAGATGAAATTAAGGCTTGGATTACTAAAAAATATCATATTTTTGTAATTATATCTTTAGGCCATGAATTAAAAAGAAGATTTGGATTAAGAAAAGTTGACAAACTGCGTATTCGGCAATATGTAATTGTCTTTTTCAGAAATAGCTATTTTTGCCGCTTGTTCATATTTTAAAAGTTGTTATTATGAACCGAAACGTACTAAAGGTCATAATTTGCGCCATCAGAAAAATGGATTTAAACACAATTTGAATTGAAAAATATGCTTTATTTCACTTTAACACACGAACTCTCAACAGTTATAATTTTCATAAAAAATAATTTCATCAAGTCCAAAAACAGAAAGTCTAAACCTCAATGTAACCAGACACCTGTTATTACTTCGTGGACGCTGAATGAAATACACATGAGCAAGGCCATGGACATTGTCGATGGCAATGGCAGTAATAAATAAAAATTTTGTCATAACATTTCTGAATATATTTATGATTATGACTTACTTAACAGTGGATTTCAAAATGTCTCATGATTAAATACGAAATATTATAATTTTGTGATTATCTGTTAACATAAATATTCACTCAAACAGGTACAAAATAGCAAAAAATGAAAACGCCACAAACTCAACACTAATTCTATAAAAATGACTAAAGCAATTTGACTTCGTTCCTTACAAAGCTATACAATAAATAATTAGTCAATCATAACGAAAATGAAATTGTGAGGTATTTCTAACACAAAGGAACCTATTTTGTATACAATACCAGAACCTACCGAATCTATAATAACCTAATGTCTAAAGTAGAGTGTCGTGTTGGAGCACGACTGTTTTGATAAAATAAGGTTGTTACATTGAAATTATATTTAAATTCTATTCATAAACGATTTACACTGATGTAAATTATTATATTATTATTAAAAGTATCAAGATGAAATCAGACTTAGTATGTTACAAAATGGATATAATATGGAAACATTCGCTAAGGCAACCCTCTAAAGCTGTCAGTTATTAACTAAATTACTCTGTTTTAAATGTTTGTACCACTGAACGTGTCATAGTCTCTTTTAATTCTACTGACGTGTGTCTACATTCAATTGTTTTCTACTCAAGACAGCCTCATATGACTCTATAAGTAACTATCGAGAAATTTAATAATTTAGTACAACTTAATTTATAGTTCGTGTAATCCTCATATTTTATCATTAAAAGATGATGAATTGGGCATGTATATGGTAGTGTATCAACCAAGTTCACAAGATAGAAGCATGACACACAAATCGTAGGACAGTAGATATTTCTTTCGTCTGTACACAGAAATTAATTTATATTAAAGTGAAACAATATAACCTCTATTTTACTGCTAATATTAACATAGTGGTCGTCAATGTCGAAGCGACTTTATTAAAAATGCATGCATTTGGCTTCCTCCGCCTCATTATTTCATTTGCCGAATGTCAAGTCACAACTTATTTTTAATAAAATTGCATTAAACAGCCATATTACAAATTCATGTTAGAAAGGTTTTTTTACACGAGTCATAAATTATACCTACTACAGATCCTGACACACAGTAATGGATAAATCTTGATGATATTCTAACAATATTGTAAATATACTGTTCTTCATTTTGATTTCCCATTTTGATTCATTTGCGAATACAGTGAGATTTCCCCAAATTTTAGTAGTTAGGATCCGATCTTGTTGAGGCTTTTGATGAAAGATGTCATATCATATTCCTCCTCGTACTGAGCGTCGTCCCACAGGTCGGGTGGCAGCTCTGGTGCCGGGTTCGAGGCATCCTGTGCGAATAAATTATAGAATTAAAAACATTGATATTAGATGTTGAAAGAGAATAAAAATGAAATTTATGTCTGTCATGATTTGACCCTCTCAATTGTGTAATGTTAATAACAAAGAATTTTATAAAGTAAAACATATTTTAGCTTAGTATTGAGTAAAATACAGGAATTATATTTAATATATCTTGGTAAATTCACCAAATACATAAAATAGCTAATAACGATTTTCTTTGATTAACGCTTGTATTTTAGAAATACCTATCGTCGGGTATATTGCAATACCGCGTAAGTAACATTTGCAATTAAGAGCTAATTTCAAGTGAATTATAATTTTACCCATACGACAATATAAAATATAGTAAACAAATACAATAAACTTACAAGCTGGAAGGAGTTGTATGAAGGTTTGGGTGCTGTCCCGGGGGGCTGGAACAGGTCCAGTAACTGGTCGGTGCCCATGGTCTCGAGGGCCGCGTTCTCGCTGCTGATAACCGTGTTCGCCGTCATCAGCTTGAACTTCTGTAGGCTGCAACGGAAACAACTCTCCACTGATTATCGAAACTAAATCAATATTCTGAGAATTTATGTCAGTGGCGGAGCGAATGATCGAGAAGCTAGAGGGTGACATGTTCTTTCTTTCGCTATTGGAGATTGCATACTGGCTCTTTTAAAGTTTTCTTTAGAGGTTTAGTATAGTGATTACGAATTTGGGACATATTTATTATATATATTTTTATCAAGGCCGAACGCATCAGACTGCGAGTAGTTGCACGTCCCATTCAGTCACGGATCGCCAAGGCGCGCGTACTCAACTTTTTAATATATTTTTTTATTGTAATCGAAATCAATCGCAGTATATTTTTTTATCATAAAAATGGTCTTCGTTATTTTCCGTCACCGACGTATAAGTTCCCTAGATCATGTGAGTCGATTTTTATTTATCAGTTTGTACACCATCTGCGAGGATCTGTTAATAGTTTATTTAATTACTATGCATCTGTACTAGATGTTAGTTTACCTAAAATAAATAAATAATTAATCTGCTACATTGACGGCTGTTATACTACCAGTAATACTACCAGAAAATAAATAACCTTTGTAATTTTTTGCGTGGAAATGTTATGGATATAATATTAGATAGTAAAAAAGCGAAACTAGTGCATAAAGTGAGGCATTACCCCATGATCTTCTCCTCGAGCGTGTCCCTGGTGATGAGCCGGTAGACGTTGACGACGCGCCGCTGCCCGATGCGGTGGGCGCGGTCCATCGCCTGCAGATCCTTCATGGGGTTCCAGTCGTGCTCAACAAATATCACAGTGTCCGCACCGGTCAGATTCAAGCCGAGACCACCCACCTGAGTATAACGTTACATTTATACATACGACATAAATATTTAATGCGGCAATGCTCAGCTTTGTGTTATAACCAGAGGTCGGAATTAGGTAGAGTTATTTAGGTACTTGCATCGAAATGTTGATATTAATGTGGACCTTCCCGGGATTTCTTTATTTCTTCTTCCTTTGTTTCTTTCTTTCATTGATGTAAGTTTGGCAACATCGCCCGTGCAGTAGTTTAAATTATGTAAAAGTAAATAACTTTTTATTTAAAAAATCACGGGATTTTTTCTGTTCTTTAAAATTAATCTCGGGATTTGAGGCATATCCACTTTATTCTTTCGCTGTATGAAATCAGTGTAAGTACATGAATAACTCTACCTAATTCCGACCACTGGTTATAACACTCTGAAGCAATGAAGATGTCACAACACCTAGAGCCCACGCAATATGGAAAGGGATGGGGGCCACGTGTGTACTGACCGCGGTGGTGAGCAGCAGCAGGTCGATGGTGACGTCAGCGTTGAAGGCGCTGACGATGGCGTGTCGCTGCGGGGGGGGCACGGAGCCGTCCAGGCGCAGGTACGTGACGGAGGGGAGGTGCCGCTGCAGCAGGTCGCGCTCCACGATGTCCAGCATGCGCTTCAGCTGGCAAAACACCTGCAGACAATTACTCGTTACGATCATTCAACGGACCACTTCAACCCATATATATTATCCACAATATTTCTTTTATTTGGTTCCTTTTATGACCCTTCATATAAAAACGAAACAGAAAATTGAATTTTTGTTGAAGTTCATTAGGCTCTAAATTTCACTAGAAAAATATATCCTACCCCCATCTATTAAAAGAATGAATTTTAAGTTAATTGGTGAAGTCAAAATAGTTCTTAACATAGAGGGGTATTGTTAGTTTTCGAATCAAGGGGCATATGTGGGTATTAACATAAACAAGCATGATACAATAGTAGAGTATGTGGTGACTGACCAGCGCGCGATGTGCGGCCACCACCTCGCCCACGTCCGCGGCGGCGCCCCCGCCCCCCGGCCCACCCCCGCCCCCGCCCTCAGCGCACGACCCGCCGATGCCGCACTCCAAAAGGAGCTGTCTGGGATATTCACAACATAATATTTCATATATATTAAAATCACAGGTATACTCGAATAGTAATTGGCTACTTGACAGTTATAAAAATAAATAACTATGCAGTATTTGTTGTTTTTAAATATAATTAAAAGAACCGAAATTTTTGGAGAAAACAAATCTGACAGCAGTTTTTTACGAAAGTTTTTAACAAAACAGTCATGTAGCCAACTCTAATTCTTGTTAAATATAATATAATAATATATAAATAATCATGTTATAATCTGTATCTAGCATAGTCATTCCAAATGGCACAACCGATTTCGATGAAATTTTGTACGTAATTTCAGGAGACCTGCCCTGCGATTCTGTAACAATCCAGACCCGAATTCAAATTCACTCATGTGTCCGAATTCTCGTTATTTACTATAGAAATCATATTGATTCCATTTTTGTATAAAAATACTAAACAAAATTGATTGATTAAACGTGTTTTAGATATTTTAATCCTACATCATTTCGAAACTCACTTCACTTATTTCACGAAACATTATTACCAATTCAAGTTTGAGCGGATGCCGCTTTTTGAAGTGAATTCGGACACCCGAGTGGATTCGAATTCGGGTTTGAAGTTTTACAGAATCGCAGGGCTGAAAATAAGTCATTATCTATTTTTTATTCTCGAAAAGATAAGGGTGATCCACTCTAAAGTAGCATGTCCAATGTTGATCTTAAAATTACTAATGTGTCTAGTGATGTGATATATCTCAAAATGTAAGTTATTTTTTACCAATTTATACCGTGTAATTAAATCTTAAAGTCACATTGATGACTCAAACTATAAAAAGATTGTATTTTAAAGATACACAATTATCTCGAGTTGTAACAGCTGATATAACTTCAAAAGATAATTTACAAATTACAAATCTCCCTGTCCAGATGAAAAGATGCTTAGATATTATCAATTTAAGCAAAAACGAATTTAAATTATCACCAATGGTGGGTAGACCTATAAAAAAAACACGTGACAGGTCAATCGGTGTATGAAAAGTGGACACGATTCTTTATATAGCAAAAACTAGGTCTGACGGGCGAACTAGTATTATTTTAACACAGTATAGTTTACTTGAGGGCGGGCAGCTTGGCGGCGTGCTGGATGTCGTCGAGCGTGGACCGCTGCTGCTGCAGCAGGCCGGTCACGCGCTCGTACTCGGGGTGCTCCGCGGTCAGCACCAGCTTGGGGTGGTTGCACACGTTCTGCAGGTAGTGCAGCGCCTGCACACACATATCGATGTCGAGATATTTGTGTCGAATATATTTAATTGAAACAAACAAAAAGATATACGGCACACTAGTAATAAGCAAAAATTGTTTTAATGACAACACGACTCGATGATATACCTTTAAATTTTATCTACGTCCATCACTATAAAGTGAAACTTACTGAAATTTAATAACGAGATGTACTCGTCACTCTAATGAGTTAATAAGAAACCTCGGGACAGTCCAACTGTACCCATACGTTTTCTCTTCCTTGCATAGCGTGCTGGATACAGTTATATTCAATTGATAAGTCTCACAGATGTATCTTTCAAAGCGACAAATGTCGGCGTTTCTGAATGAGTAAAGTATCATGCCTTCCATTTTCAGATTTTTAAATTTTTACACTACCGTTTTTGTTTTTATTTAAGACAATAATAAATCTAAAGAGAAATATATGTTGTAGATTTCTTTATCAAAAATGTGTTTGTATATTGTATTTACTTTTAGTAACACTGAACTACTTTTCAAAACTTCTTTTTTATGTTCTTATAAGTGCACATTTTATATGGGAAATAATCGATCAATATTGATCGTGAGGAAATTAAAGTAGGTGGATTTACGTGCCCCATATGCAGTTACTATGTACATGGCATATCATCCCTCAAGCTTTATGGTGTATGATCTGGAGGCGGTCGTCTTGTCTCACCTGGAACACGTGCGTGCGACTGGTGACGTCGTCGGGCATGTGGTCGCGCGAGAAGTGCTCGTACAACCGCCGCTGCAGAGGGCTCAGCTCGCAGTAGTAGTCCTGCGTTATCTTCGGAGGCAACTCTTTCAGTACGTCTTCCTTCACACGTCGCAGGAGGAACGGTAACACCTGGCGGGACGCATTACATTGTAACACGAAAACTCAGAAAGATGCATTTTTTTTTTTAGTTTGGCAATTTGCACAGATGGCGCTTGGCATATACGTTGCTCAATACGAATTCTGAAGTTAAGCCATACAATTTATTTTATGGTAACAGTCAAAAGCCTTATGATAGAAAAAATCACAAATATATAGATGTACATCTATTTAATCAGTTCCAATGCAAAGATAAAAGATGATGCATTGCCATTATGAATCGCAGTATGATTTCGTATCTAAGAATATATATATACTAATTATCTTATATTGTTATGGTAAATGTAAGTATATTTATTGTTATGTTATACATTTATTTATCTATTTATTACCTATTTCATTTATGTTGAGCATGAACACAAGTAATGATGTTTCAAACTTTAAAGGGTTAGATTCCTATTATTAGTTCAGTATATGTGGCTTTTAAAAAATTGTGTTTTGATATGCATATTTAAAAAACAATCTGATATATCCATACTGTCAAACATTTTTTTATAAAGATGGTTTTTAATTAATTGGAAATACAAATTGCGTTAAATGGATTTGTTAACAAACGTCATTGTATCCATGCTATGTGAAATGGACTATAATATGTAGTGTAGTATATAGTATAGTGTAGTGTAGTATATAGTATAGTGTAGTGTAGTGTAGTAAAGTGTAGTGTAGTGTAGCGCACCTGCCTGTGCAGCGCCTCGCAGGCGAGCGCGCCGGCCTGCAGCTGCGCGGGGTTGGCCCGCGGGTCGCGCGCGGCCAGTATGGGCCGCGAGTAGCGCGCCGTGAACTGCCGCTCCGTGCCCAGCAGGCCCGGCATCAGGAAGTCGAACAGGGACCACAGCTCCAGCACGTTGTTCTGTCGCCACACACATCACAACTCAATACCTATTCCACATATGTATCTATTGTATACGGGCACTGGAGCTCCGTCTATAACTTAAATTGAAGTCAAAGTTATAGTAATTTTGTTGTGGTTAACGACAACTACACATTGTAATATACAAAACAGGAGCCTAACTACGTTTCAGCTCGACGAAAATTGATTTATTGTTAGATTATTTTACTTTATATATATTTACTAGCTTCACTGTCGTTATAAAGAGACTAACATTTGTCCCGAGCAGAACCACTAACACAATAACACAATAAATGTGCAGATTAACCGTTCCGAGTGAATGAAATTCAAATTATAACAAACCTGTATAGGCGTTCCGGACAGTATCAGTCTATGGTTCGCGATCAACTGTTTTATAGCTTTGAACGCTTTCGTCTTCCCGTTTTTGATGACGTGTCCTTCATCTAGGACACAATAGTTCCATTTGATGCTGCTAAAGAAATCTATATCCTTTCGTACAATATCGTAGGAGGCCACTATGAGGTTATGATGTTTCACGTGAGCTCGCAACCGCTCTCTTTCTATCGGAGGGCCCACATATTGTAATGGCTTCAAAAAATTGCTCGGTATAAACTTGTTCACTTCGAATACCCAATGACCTGTAAAAAAATTATATAATATTAGATACTATTGTCATATGATAAACATAGGTCGTAGATTTAGATGCTATTTCGCTTCTTTGCTCGTTGTTAGCTTATTTATGCAGAAGAGTAACTTTTGAGAAGCATGTTTAGGAGAACTATGTAAGTAAGAAGTTGCCAGTTCGTATGTAGATGTCACAGTAATGTACTGGTGAGCGTGGGCAGTAAGGGAGCGCAGGTCTGGGCTCACTACCAGTGCGAAGAGGAAACGGCCACCATGGACTGCAGGGTGTGAGTATAGTGTAGTGTAGTGTAGGGTAGTGTAGTGTACCGGTGAGCGTGGGCGGGCAGACGACGAGCGAAGGCAGTGAGGGGGCGCGGGTCTGGGCCCGCTCCCAGTGCGAGGAGGCGACGGCCACGATGGACTGCAGCGTCTTGCCGAGCCCCATGTCGTCACACAGCACACCGTGCAACTTGTACGAGTACAGGAACCGGAGCCAGTTCACCCCCGCCTGCAAATATATCAAAGCATCCACTCGTATAACTTCACATCTTGGTACCATTTACGCGATAAATTTGCAAAAATGTAAGTGAATAAGACCGTTCAGTTCCCTCTCATCATTTGTGCAGATCAATTTATAAAATTACGAAAAAAATAATTGAAGCCAAATTAAAATAATGTCCTAGCTCGGCAAAAATTCTCTTGTTAAAAAATAAAACTTCAGTCAAAGTATTAATTATAAAAACATTTACAATAATCTATGATATTACATATGCATACTTATTTAATAAAATAATAGCCAGCTGTGACTAAAACCTCTTTTTAAAAATTTTACTGAAATGAAAAAGGTTTGATATTGAGTAGCAAAATATTAAAGTTTAAGTAAAATATTGTAGTAAACTTATATACCATTAAAACTTAAAAGATGTATGTATGCACACCTGCTGATATGTCCTGAGATCGGCGGTCACCGGCACGGGTATCTTGTAATTTTCTATAGTCTTGGGGTTGAACAATTTATCGAGGAAGTTCTTGTCCCTATTCCTGCGCTCGCGCATGTCCGGCGACAGGTCCGGCGGTTCCGGCACGGCGCCGTCCAGCGGCATCAGCTGGATGAGACTCGCGAAACAACGCGTCGACATCACGCGGACCGCCTCGCAGTGGTCGCTCATGCGACCTGGACACGACAATTACTCATTAAACCTCGAAAGTACCTACCGGGAAACCTTATTTAAACGCTGGCATCGACTGATATAAAACTTGCACGGTTTAACGCGCTTAATAAACAGAAATAAACAGCACCTAACCAATTCTGGCATTAAGAAATTTAAACTTATGGATCTGAACAGCGGGCTTTCTTAAGATACTTAGACACTACTATAATTTGCAAGCTTTTAACTAGTTAATAATTGCAACTAAAAACGTTTTGCTGTATCAGCGTGGTCAACTGAGCGCCGCGTAGTACATCAAACGTGGTCCTTCGAGCCTACCCTACACAGATATTCGGAGCTGCCGCAAAACTGTAGTGTCTCACCGAGCAGCGGCACGACCAGCAGCACGATGTAGGGCACCACCTGCAGCTGCAGCGCGTCCACCACACGCGACAGCGCCTCCGCCGCGCCGCACCGCGTGCGCTCGCACCGCACCTCGCCCAGCCCGGGCACCAGCTAGCACGATACGCATTCACACGATTAGGTGGCCGCCGTTGCCGGTTTCCATATGCGTTAACATGACCGACGAGGTTACCTCGTGTATGGCGGCGTGCATGGCGGCGGCGGGCTGGCGCGCGGCCACGGCGGCCAGTGCGCGCGCGGCCATGTGCCGCAGCGCGGTGTGCAGAGCGCGGGTGAGGGCGCACAGCGCGCGGGGGCCGCCCCCGCCCACGCGCGCCCACAGCTGCCCGCCCAGGTGCGCGCACACCGCCTCGAACACCTGCAGTCGCGATATCATCTCTTCCGTCGCCTCCACGTCCGCGCTCTCCAACTCTAAATCACGAGTGCACTCTTGTAACTTAAAGAATCGTATCCGCTTTCCGAACATTGATTGACCTGTCACATATCTTTTAAAGATCACGTCTACCCACCGTTAGTAACTTTTGCTTAAAATATAATAATATCTGAAGGCCAGGGAGATTCGTAATTAATTAGTAAATAATGTTTCGAGGTTACAACAGCTGTCAAAACTCGATATAATTGTGAAGCTACTTTAATAATTGATGCATTACCGTTGGGTCATTATAAGAGGCCACACTTGACATTTATCAATTTGATATATAGATAGTGATATATCCTGCTTTAAGTTTTAGATTAATTTAAGGAATCAATATGGTTTCCAAACAAATGTGAATCGAGTGCAGATATTATTATAATCATTTTGCACAACTACAGATTACTTATAGATTGCGTAATGCACAATGCAAGGCTTGAAACCAAAACACTGTATCTATCTATTTCATTGCCCACGGCGAATAAATAGGAATAGAGGATTTCAAATTGTGCATAAAACTAGTTACCTTCTCTCAAACTACATTTACCATTAATTTTATCTTACGTTTTTATCCAATAGCTGATCATAAGATGGATAACTTAAATATGAAATCAGTCATTTTCATGTTTTGAAAATATTTGTAAGTCATTTTCTTTTTAATTTTGACGTCATTTAAATAGTATTTTAGTAATTACATTTCCAATGTGGTAATTCGTTCATGCCTAAGTAATATAAATTTAATAAAATCAACTTCCGAGTAGACTAAACAAAGTTTTCAATATTTTCGGATACATCCCTAGTGTTTAACAAGACAATGGATCAACAGGATTAACTTTGTAGCAACATTTAGTATATTTAGAATGAAGTGGATATTTTACATTAAGAAATGTACTTCTGTTTAATAAATGTAAATCTACCCTATTATAATACCCGATCGAGCCTAACGTGAATTAACTATCTAGCCACTTTTACATACGAGAGAAACATATACATAGTATTTACTCACCAGCGTCAGTCATGACCCTGTCGAGAGGTTCAATTATGAATTCCCATAACTTGGGGAGTTTTTCTGGTAGTTCGTTGTTAAAATGTTTCGTCAGGCTGACCAGCGCCAACGTGGCCCCTCTCCTCTGTATCTTGAGTATTTTATGGGCCTAGCGTAAGATTTATTAAAATTTCAATAAACAAAAAGAAAGATTTATCCAATATTGATCAGAAAGAGCGCCTCTTTGTACAATGTAAGATAGTTTTAATTAGTATAACGTTCATAGTATAGTATGTGAGTATGAAGGAAGACTATCAAATCCTCAGGCAATATTATAGCTCAAAAAAGAAAAAGTATGGGTTACACGTTTCTTAAAGTTCACCTGTCTTAAAACATCGTGAAAATGCGTATGTTGTCGATCTATTAATTATTTTTACTTCGATTTGTTCAGCACTTTGTACTTCGCCTGTGTTATTTAGATGCGAGTTGTAGTGTAGTGTAGGGTAGTGTAGTGGTAGGGTAGTGTAGTGATAGTGTAGTGTAGTGTAGTGTACCTCGTCCTCGTGGTTTATCAGCTGCAGCGCTTGTTGTTGGTGCGCGGGGGGGCGGCCGCGCCGCGGGGTGCCCGCCTCCGCCTGGCGCTGCTGTTCACGCAGGGTCAGTATACCCTTGTACCTGTCCACTGACAGAAACAGATACAACACTATTATAGCACAAATGCGGTTTATATGAACATTTACCCTCATCTTTTGTTTGACCTTGACGAAGTTTGTAAGTTAAATATCATGTAGATTAATAATTAAGAACAGAGTTGCCTAGCTCAATCGGGGACTATACATATAAAATAATGTTCACGGTTCATTCGTCTCATCTGTTATTCATTATATCGATCAAACAAGAAAACACGTCCAAATAATCATAAAAATATAGAATTGTCTGAACAAAACATATTTTTATATGAAGTGATATCATCAAATCCCTCGTAACTATTTGCACCCGGAAACCTTGGGTATGTTCCGATATACACTGCGAGCACTGCGCAGTGGTCTTACTGCTGAAAAATCCGTTCCGTTATGGACTGCCAGTATACTGCTACAGTACCGTAGGGAAATTTATGACGTCATGAATTGCCGCCATATTTGTACTGTGAGCACTGGAGATTTCGAGGTGCAGTGCTCGCAGTGCTTTTGACCACGTGATCAGTCGAAACAAAATAAAATACTTACGTTTATTATAAGATGGATTTGATTGATAAATAATTTTTTTATACAATTTTCCAATTTTATAATATTTTCTTTTGAAAAAAGGGAATCTTTATATTTATATTCACCTTGCATTAACAAATTTGAAAATGGCGCCAAAAATAGGATCAACAGTATACTGGACTGCGTTCCGTTTTAAAAAGTCACCAGTATAACTAGCTATAAAGGAACGGGCTTCCAGTATACTAAATTGACGTCATACTGTTCTGTATCCCAAAGGTTGACTGGTAGAGAATGCTAATAGCATTAAGTCCGCCTTTTGTACCAATTTAATGGACAATAAAGTTTGTTAAATAAATAAATAATATTCTGTAATAAAAATTTCGAGTCAGTTTTTTTATATCAGTCAGTCTTGTAAATAGAACGCACGAGGTCAGAGAAAGCGATGAAACCGCTAGAAGGTTATTATAATTAATGCATAACTCACGCGCGGGCAGCGTGGTGGGCGCGTGCTGCGCCTCGGGGCCGCTGTCGCTGGCGGAGTCGCCGTCGTCAGAACACTCGAGTGACACGCGCGGTGTCACCTCGGGATCACATCTACACGAAACATATCAAAGTTGAGCTTCAAAATAGCATTTGATTAAATTAGAACACGAATCAACTGTCCAAAGTTCTAGATCATCAACCCTTTTACGTCCCCACTGCAGAGGCTCAGGCCTGCCTTATGAACGGGCCATAACCCTCCAGCCGAGACCAACGGCCTACCGTTCTTTCCGAAGCACGGAATAGCTCGAGTTAATAATTTTGGGTCACCCATCCTTGAAAAAAAAGGTTGCTTAAAAATCGATCGCGGGCTGTGGCGCATATAACGTATTTACCTGAGGAACGCCTTCAGATTGACGAGTACTTTATTGTTGGGGCAGGGGTCTCTGGTGACCAGCTGCTCCAGCAGCTCGGCAAGCGTGGCGGCGGAGTGGTGCTGCAGCTCCTCGGAGGGCTCCTTCTTGATGCTCTCCATCAGCGGCCGGATCACGGGGTTCAGCTTCTCCGGCAGGCAGTGGAGGTTAGCGCACGCGCCCGCCAGAGCCGCTTGCACTCTGAACAGGAATTAATTTATTCATATCATGGATATTTTATTGTAAAATTACATTACAACTCGAAAATATGATATTCCAACAGATATATTTTTATTCAGATAGTTATTTTTTCAAAATAAAATCGTTGATTCAGTATAGGCTGTTACATAGTACTTCTGAAAGTCGAAAACTACGGAGACCTTGTACTGAGAAGAACCGGCAAAAACTCAACAAGGACCTCTTTTTTCTCCCTGTTTTATTTCACACAGAGAAGTTTTATTGGAAAGTGACTTCATTAGACTGTAAGTTACTTTCCATTACAATATCAGAAATAACAAGGTAGATATTTTCGATTAGTGATATGCCGGTTGCGAGTCATAGATACACATACACATTAACAAATCAATATACAGTATTCATAATAAAGAAAATGGAAGAAATCAAGTAGTCCAGAGCAGACTCATTCCCACTAAAAATGGACTGTATCATCGTAACACGTCCAAAAGTTGGTAAGTAAGTTGTTAAGTATAGTTGTTAAGTTGTTAAGTATAAAAATAAGTTGGTAAGTCGTAAAACTAAAACAAAATAAATAAGGCCTCACTTTAAAGTGAAGCATTACTTCTTTGGCCATTTTTGAGACTTTAGCCGGGCATCTAGTTGTATTATTCGATACATCGATCGAAGCATGACCTGGGTACAGTTACAACGACAATCTGACTAGTAAATGTTACCGTTTTAATTCCCCATACAAACTTCCACGCCCATTTACATCCCTTTATTTGCCGTCTTCGGGAAAATATAGCCTATGTCCACAGCATATAAAATATTTTTTAAGATCAGTTCAGTAGTTTCGGAGCCTAATCGTTACAAACAAACAAGCAACCAAATCTGTCGTCTTTATAAGTAGTATGTATATATAGTGTATATGGTGTGTTCCTCACTGCACGTTGAGCGTGTTCTGTTCCGCGCAGCACTGCGCCACGGCGGCGTGCAGCGCGGCGCGGCGCTCCTCCAGCGTGTGCGCGACGCGCTTCACCTTCATGGCCGCCACCAGCGCGCCCGACACCTCCGTCAGCTGGGACACCTGCACACATACACACACACATGTACACACACAGACACACATACTCGCTAGCAACTACAGTCTGACCTATACCGCTATACTGCGCCTTAGGAGGCGGGCTGGAAAGATCATTGAGTCACAAGAGATTCATAGATCTTAAGATAACAAAGTGCAATCTTTTGACGCTGTATACATGTAACATTAAATATTTTTTATGATTAAATACGATTTTAGGCAAGCAAAAATATAAAAACCAATATAAGTAGAATTAACGTGTAATCTATATAAGCTAACGGATCAACGCACAGCTATAAAATAAAAAATAAACTAATAAAAAAATCTTTTTGAAAACAAGCGTTTTTTTAAATGGTCTAAAGAGTAAAAATAAAGGCCCCTTCGAAAATGACAGCTTTGATATCTCGAGATAAAACACAGCCCATTTTTAGACAACTCTTCTCGTGTGCGTGTAACAAAGACAACATCTTTTTTTAATTCACTCGTTTAACATCTCCTTGCCGTATACGACGATTATTTCAAATATATTTAAATATTACATTTCAACGTACTCACCTGCTCCAGCCTTAGTATATTATTGAACTCTTCAGTGTCTACTGGCAGTTTGTAATGCTTCATCATAGCATGGAGATCACGAGCTTCTTGCAGTATTCTGAATACAGAGGGGGAACATATTTTTAAATATAGGAAACAGAAACATGTGTCGGGTCAACGTACATTGTTTGCCATACATTGTTTGAGAGCAATATACAACATCGCGACCTACTTTAGGCGCTTGCAAAAATTAATATAATTTTTAGTACAATAAAGTAACTTCGTAGTATTGGTTGATAGTATCATGTTTATTGCATCTTTTTGGCACTTTTTGGCATTATCTTATCAATACTACCTGACATCTGAAATCATTTACTGAACCAGAGTAACAACTCGTTCAATAAATGACGAAAAGTACAATTCTTAAACTGGTTTTAGTATCACGCTGACCGTCGGCACCGATAGGCGCTTATGTATCGGCGCTATAGATTCGTTCTATATTATTTTGTAATTGACATGGATTTATGTATTAAGCATACTTGACTTATTAATTTTGTAACATATAAATTGATTCGAATTTTGACATTATTACTATTAATTATTTTTGAACTATAAGACTGAAATAATATGTAATAGGAACTGAATGAAATGTTTTTAAGTTAATGATGTGCCAATAAAATAATATCATAGTTAATGCATGAATATATTAAAATGTAAATTTATATATCTACTAAAACTATTGCACACTGTCAAACAGTAAATATGTGATACCCTTATTTTATGACATCTGTTACACCATATTTTTATGCAATAAATGATTGATTGATTGATATAGTTACCGACCGCTCAGCGGCGAGCGGACACATGTGGAATGGATGGCGGTGAACACATAAGTGTGTGAATGCATCTGATCCACTCTACAAAAACAAAAATGCCAGAAACAAGCCCTACTGCATCTTGGTAATTTATCACCAAACTTTGGCATTAATTAACGGGTCAAAATTTCTTGTTGGCACGCGTAAGCAGTTAAAGGACTTGTTATCGTCATCCCCTTTTACACTGTCTCAAACGGTAACAACTGATTGAAAAATGTCTTTAAACAAAAGTAGATGAAGATTCATTGTCACTTCTTTTCTTTTTGCACAAATCCGCGTTACACTAAAACCAGCCTTATGTATGTGAATTTTGCAATTAAGGACTGGTCGGAGAATCTCAATTTGTTTCCTGGCGATTTCTTTTTTCATATTGGATAATTTATAGTTTAAATATAACACACTTGCCTGTTACAGTTTATAGCCACTTCGTCGTAGTAGAGAGTCTGATTGAGCGCCGCATGCAGAGTGCTGACCAGGAGGGGAGGTGCCAGTTTAGATATATGACTGTCCTCCTCTGACATGTCCTCGTTCTCATTCTGAGTACAATTAAATCATTATTAAACAATAATTCATATAGCATCGTCATATTGGTATCGTCTGGCATCCGCTTTGGCTTCGTCTCACAATCACTGAGGATAGCCAACGAAAAGATGCGACGGCACTGTCATGGCATCAAAAAAAAACTATGATATAATACATACATAAATATAATAATTCGGGATTCACTCTATATTTGACCGACTCCATCAGTAGCTATCTGTCGCTAGTGATCCAAGATATATTATTATCACTTATGGTGACATAATTATATACCTTCTTCGTGTGGGGACACGAAGTGGACCAAGCAATTTATAATAAAAAAGGAGTATGGTGGGTGGACGGGAAAAGTGTGTTGTAACTGGTGATGTTGTATGGTGGATGGACGGAAACATTGCGCCTTACCTGGTGGTGTTGTATGGTGGATGGACGGAAACAGTGCGCCTTACCTTGTGGTGTTGTATGGTGGATGGATGGAAATAGTGCGCCTTACCTGGTGGTGTTGTATGGTGGATGGATGGAAACATTGCGCCTTACCTAGTGGTGTTGTATGGTGGGTGGACGGGAACAATGCGCCTTACCTGGTGGTGTTGTATGGTGGATGGACGGAAACAGTGCGCCTTACCTAGTGGTGTTGTATGGTGGGTGGACGGGAACAATGCGCCTTACCTGGTGTTGTTGTATGGTGGATGGACGGAAACAGTGCGCCTTACCTTGTGGTGTTGTATGGTGGATGGATGGAAATAGTGCGCCTTACCTGGTGGTGTTGTATGGTGGATGGATGGAAACATTGCGCCTTACCTAGTGGTGTTGTATGGTGGGTGGACGGGAACAATGCGCCTTACCTGGTGGTGTTGTATGGTGGATGGACGGAAACAGTGCGCCTTACCTAGTGGTGTTGTATGGTGGGTGGACGGGAACAATACGCCTTACCTGGTGTTGTTGTATGGTGGGGGGGAACAGTCGCCTCGTGCGCGTGTGTCGCGCCCACATGGAGACCACGAGCGCGGCCACGAGCCGCTGCAGCGCGCTGCCCGACCGCAGGTACACCACCATCACCTAACAGGTTACAAGTACAACCATTACCACTATACTACCCCATACTCGTCCAGCACGCATAGCATGACGAAATCGAGAACGTTTTGTCTACACTCAGATGTTTGAGTGTTGACAAAGCGTTTCTCGAGTTTGTCATACTACACGTGCTGGTTAATTAGTATATAATGGTTTCGAATGGATATTAATGGTTAGAGTTGGGCCGTTGTAATGGGCCACATTTGACATCTGTCAGTTTGAACTTCACAGTGATGTATCATGCTAAAAATTAACAATTAATTCGTAGATCGAATGCAATAAGTATGTAAAATTATAAAATTAAAAATTATAATGTCACAGATGTAGTAAATCAAATACCTTAACATAACAGTCTATAGGACTTTCGTCTTCGGGTTTGTACTCTATTCCAGGCGCCGGTTGTACTAGGTAACACGATAAGAAACCTGCGATCACAATTAACACAAACCATTAATTTTTATTTAATAATATTAAAACAAAACATAGAACTACTCATAAGGACGTTGTAAAAATTCACAGAACAAACGCTGACGTTTATAAAGTCGACAATGTAATGGTATTAAACAACTAACCCTGAATATAATTACGATGTGTGAGTGTTATAGGACTTCATACCGAGTGCCTGCGCGGCGAGACAGCGTGCACGGGTGACGTTCCTGTCCCGCAGATGGCAGGGCTGCGCCTCGCTGCCGCCCACGTACCACTTCTGGGCTACGCGCGCCTCCCCCTCGCACGACTGACCGCTGCGCACGCGACGCTCCTGACACACATAATATGTTGAATTCAAGGTGGACAGGGAACAATATTTTTAATTAAATTAGTGTTAGTGTTCCTATTTCATATTTTTATTAAATGATTTAGATATTCATTTATAACCAATAAACAGATGACCCTCTATTATTTTTATATTCATAGTTACGCGAACTCAAGTTATATACTCAAGTATAGTTTCTTAAACATATATTTCAATAACCTATATTATTTTATCAAACATGGTATGGAACTTTTATTATAACTTTTCAGACTAATCCAATTTATAATTCATAAAAATATCAACTTAGTATAAAAAATCTAGAATCAAAACATTTCAAATTTTCTAATTACATTATATATAGCCTCGTGGTCGTACCATATTCTAATACAGACATACCCAGTAATGAGCTGCCAAACCTAGTACGACAAGACGAGCATCAGCACTACAAGCCTGAGGGTCTTATATATTATTGAAGAATATTTAATACGTATTTTTTTACGTAATCAATAAGTTACAGCAATACATTGAGATGAAATGTCACATAACGTCACGCTTTTGTAAATTTTCTACCAAACTATGACGGAGCGTGCTCCCACTAATTAACTTTAATGCTTAGTATCACTAAGTCATTTCTTGTTTAAATTGAAGTTTCTATTATGTGACAGACGGACTTTATCGGAATGGCAAATTGAATCGTAAACAATGGTTACTGTGGTAACATTATTATACCCTATACAAACTTCCACTCCTATTCTCATTCCTTCATTCCCTGTTTTTCGAGATGACTACGTTCACCGCATATGATGTAACTTCCCGTGGGTGAAACAATTTATAAAATCGCCCGAGTGGTTCCGGAGGCTATTCGCAGCAAACAAACAATCGACAGGTGCTGCAGCGTGATGTGCATCTGACCTGCAGCGGCGGGCGCAGCAGCAGCGCGCAGTCGACGGGCGCGCGCGCGGGCTGCATCGCCAGGCACATCCACGTGGCCAGCACGGGGCACGCCGCCACCAGGATCGCGCCCAGCGACGCGTGCCGCAGGAAGTTCTCCCACACCTGTTGTATGTTGTACGCAAACGTGTATATCGTCATCGGCCCCTTCACGACCCCCTACAGGGGCTCAGGCATTCCTTACGGATTATTAACGTCCTGCGACAGCGGCACCAACGGCTTAGCGTGCTTCCGAAGCACGGAGTAGACCGATACAATATTTTTTTATACATCCATCACGTGAACGACCCTTGTAAAAGTTGCTTAACAACAATGATCGCGGGCCTCGGCGCTTTTCTACTACGTAATCGACCCGCTCGATTTCAAAGTAAATAATTATTGAGATGAAATATTTGATTGATCAATTGAATCTGACTTAAATATATTTTTTTCCGACCAAATGTTTCTTTCTTACGCATCGATGCAATTCCATATCGCAAGTGTTCAGTCATGAAATGCACAATCTATCGATTTCGGCCAAAAATATCCTCGACATCGGCCATAATATCGAAACTGTGGGGGCGGGATGATAAAAGTAGTCGATCTAGCAAACATATCGCACATTTAGGTACTGTCCTATCTGTTTAATCAGACAAATTGGTTGTTTTGAATCGCATTGTTCGGTTAATGACCGAACACTGTATTATATGCATTTGACGTAGTTTAGGTAAATAAGCGCGGCTCGTGGCCGAAAGTAGGTCGCTGCCAGACTTTAGTTACATACATTTATTCAGTAGAATGGGATCATTAACATTTTGAATTAACAGTTAATAGACTTAGAAAACATTATAAATTTTGGTAGACACTTGGCAAAGTCACTTTATTGCAAATATTATTTTTACTTTATCCTCGCTAACACCACGCATACTAATCCCCGAACGCGAATAGTGCTTCTCCACAGTACAAGTACGTGTAATCGATCTACTACCGACACATTTTGCGATTATTTTTATTTCTAATATTATATTTTACATAGAGATGTATCGAAAATCCGACTCACCTGCAGCGCAATTTCTTGTATATCATGGACATGTTCGAACAAAATTCTCTGGTAAACGTGTCTCATAGCTTCCTGCAGCAGTTCAGGAGTCCACGCCAGGTACTGTTCCTCCTTGCCGTTCAGATCGCGGGAGTCGGTGGAACCGTTCCCGTTGCTGGTGCCATTGGTTTCCGTCACCAGAGGTCTCGTGAGGGTCCTGAGCGTCTGCAGCGCCGCTTTGCGGACCGAACTGGTCGAGTGGTCGAGGTACGGCCACAGGCGGGGGAGGACGTCGGGCAAGTCGATGGGGCTGGCGGATGGGAACACGGCATTTGAATAATCGTTTTACATGTCACATTATTTATTGCGAATTTTGTATTTCTGTTAAAAATCAAGGACTCTACGTCAGATTTCACAAACTGGCATAAAATCTCTTGTAAAAAAGTGATGCTGGGCGGAGGAGGAGTGATCGAAAAGACATCGTCAATGCGGGTTATCGTTTTTTCGCTCACCAGATCGCGCGACCATCGCGAGAGGTCCTGTCAAAGTTTGTTTATTACGAGACCTAACTTAAATTATACATAAATAAACTATTTCATTAAAAATATCAAACACGCCTAATAAACAGTAATCTCCGATTTAGCTGTTGTTTCATTCCGCTTATATTTTTCACTTCCATTTCTTAGTTCGGTTTTTAAAGAAGGTACTGACTCTTATCGATCGCTTTATGAATCTCAGATATCCCAAAATAAGAGTAAAATTTGTTTATTTGCGAAAGAAACGCGCTCACGCCGAGAAAGTATTATATTCGACATTCGGAAGAGTTCACGCAAGAGGTGCGGTGCGGTGGGTGGTGTGGTGTGGTGTGTATACGTACTGCATGTGTGTGGCGGCGCGCGTGTGCGTGCACAGCGCCGCGAGCAGCGCCAGGTAGGCGTTGGCGGGCGCGGCCAGCTCGTCCTGGTCCCGCAGCAGCGCCCACAGGCGCGCCGCCAGCGCCCGCGCGCTGCCGCTGGCCGCGCCCGCGTGCGCCGTCAGCGCCGCCGCCGCCGCCGCCGACACGTCCTCTGCGTCGTCCTCCAGCCCGCGCACCAGCTGCTCCACCGCGCCACACTCGAGACCGGTCTCCTGGCCGGGCCGTATGTTTATTTTATTGATATTTTAAAAATGTATAAATCTGTGTTTCCGTTTCTCCCGGTAGATTCAAAAGTACCTTCCTGGCGGCCAGCAGGTACTTGTAGGCGAGCAGCGCGCCGTGGCGGGCCTCCCACTGCGGCTGCTGCGCCAGCGCGGCCAGCAGCGCGCACACGAGGCGCACGCGGCGCACGCGCATGCACGCCAGCGCCACGCCCAGCGTCTGCGCGCACGTCTCGCGCACCGGTGCCACCACCTGCACACCGTATCGAACGCGCACACGTCACACCTGCCTCACACGATATATATATCTGCGATGCCAGATGCCACGTTACCGGACGTACCGTATGAATGAAACGATTACCTGATCGGACACGAAATCGCCGAACCTGTCGAGAGCCAGGACGCAGATCAACCGCAGCGCGATGTCCTCGAGCCATTCCTGGTGGGCGTCTTCCATCTGTGCGCAATATAATCATTGTTAAATTGAGAACTCGTGACGCACACATCTAGTTACCCGGAATCGACTACTTTCTCCGAACGACTAACACTCGGTCTCTGAAATGAAAATATATAACCGAGCACCACTCGAAGGGACTTAAACAGGTTTTCGTTTCAGTTTCTTTACGATCACTCGATAGCGGTTCGATAAAACTAATTAGGACCTTCTGCCTCGTGAAAAACTTAAGTCATTGAGAATAATCGGGTGAGATTTTGTACTTTTCTTAATTCATAAAACTAAAACTAAAGCCGCCATCAGTGTCCATAAGCACAGTAGACCTGTTCGGTGGTCATGCCGGCGTGCACGCCAGCCGTGCTGGCCACGCGCGCGCGCAGCAGCTCGCGCAGCGCGCTGGCGGCGCCGTGGCGCGCCTCCCAGGCGGCGCTGAACAGCTGCGCGCGCAGCGCCGCGCTCCAGCGCTCCAGCGGCCAGCGCGCGCACGCGCCCCACGCGCCCGCGCAGTCCGGTACCGCGCCCGCGCCCCCGCCCGCGCTCTCCGCTGCCAAATTATCGATATCGATATAAGTCCCGTAAATTGCTAAAGCGCCGGAACTTAGTCAAATAACATCCGCGTGACATCATATGAAATATAAAGTATATATATAGTATAGTATATATATATACTATATAAAGTATAGATAGCACTAAGGTCAAGAGACAAATTATTTATGAATTATTGAAATATTTATGAATTAATCCAAAATATTGTTATAATAATTTCATTACTTCTAGTTTGTTAACTTATTTCATGAATCTTTGGAAAAAAAATACATTTATATATTGAGGTATATGGAGAATAAAAAAAAAATTCATTTACTTTGTAATAACAATCGGAATGGACATTTTTTATAGCATAATCAAGAGTAAGTGTCCCTTTCCCTTACACTCAATGAGTGTCTAACGCATGGATATTGGTGGGTCGCCTGATCGCTTCATGCTTCGACCGTTCTGATTGACCGACATTTAGCGTGTTTTGAAATTTAGTCAAATTGCATTACTAGTAGAGTCCAAATGATCTCAGTTATTTAAGGTTAAAAATCCAATAGAATTCAATTTTTTTTTGCATTAACTGATGTGATCGCTGGTATGTATGTGTGTGACGTATACATGAAAATAAAATTATTATTCATTCATTCATTAATTTTACTGAACGAGTAGAGTAAATCCCAGTACTCACCCAGGTAGTCGTCGACGTTAGGTTCAGTCTTTATCTTCTTCCGGTCCGGTTCTATGGGAGGGGTGGGGGGCGCGGAGGGCCCGCCCTCCTCGCTGCAGTCTCGAGACTTCTGTTTACTGAACGCGAGCCGGGCCTTCCGCTTGGCCAGATTCATCTCGCGCGAGCTCAGCGGTTTCGACGGCACCAGCTCCTGGACTGGCTTCTAAATATATACATGGATAAATTAATTAATATATTGAAACACATCACATATCCCAAAACATTGCTGAGATCCCAAATCAAGTAGATAAAACACTCGTATTATCGATATCTGAAACAACGAAGGTGACACCACATCCAAACCCGAGACAATATAATACAATTCGCCTATTGTTCCAGAAACTTCGAGGACAATATTCAATTCCCTTGTGATAAAAAAAGTTATTTTTAAAGAAATATTTTAGGTCATGTAAACGAGAAAGTATTCCGGTTAATAAATTTTAAGCCTATATTTTATATCTATGAATTTTATAAAATATGGTGAAGGTTTCTGCTGTGATAAGCTCGCTTCGCTCGCTTTTAATTTTGGTCACAGTTCTAACTTAACGTAAATACGCACATACATTCAAATAATTTCTATTCCTTATGAATGTTCGTTAAAAGAAGATTACCCTAAGTCTATATAACCTAATGTTTCAGATCATTGAGAGGCTGCCAAATAAAGTAAAAAAAAAAACTTACGTCTCTCTTTTAAAGTTTCGCACATAGTCATACGATAGTCGATAACACGCGTCCTTGCAAATTTAGCACGCACTACTAATTACAATGTCATTTGGTATAACAGCACACAAAAGATGATTAATTATAAATTCCGTATAAATATTTATTCAAGTTATATTTCGTGAATATATAGAGATTGAAATAACTATATCTTAATAATTGGGGCTAGAAATAGAGAGTATATCTCCGGATCTGTCCTGCGATTACCGTTTTGGTTTTTAAAATCAGGATTGCGTTTAGATTTTGCAAACTTCTGTTTTTGAGTTTTCAATTACTCGATATTTTTATTAAAAAGAATAATAAATAAAATGCATGTCTAAAAAATAATAAAAATCTAAAGTGGTGAAATTAATGACACAAATAAATCCAACATTTATTTATTTATCTTAACTGCTTAATCTGATGATATTTACTTAGCAATGATACATTTTAAAGTCATCCTTTTTATATTCGAACTTGGATAATAATATCTAAGAATGTTTTGAAAGGAATTTGTCCTATTTTAGGAAAAGTCTGCCTTTTTCGCTGTAACGAAATGAACACCTTTAGCTTTAAGTAAATTACATGAGAATATTATTTTAATTACATTATACAAAATAATTACTAGATTTTATCGTTAATTATGAACAGTACTTATAGGAATTCATATTCTTGTTGTATGAATAAAATAAGTACACATGTTTCTCAATTATGCCATGAAGGCCTTTTGTGACGTCAAGGATAATAATTAAAACATGTAACTTAGATTAATAAAAAAAAATTGTCTTGACCTTTTGTGAGTCAGGCTTGGGGGCCGGCTTGATGGGACAAAGATCTTCGTTGGTGTAGAGGGCGTTGATGTCTACCCCCAAGTGTGGTGCCACGTCCAAGCCCAACTTAGCGTTTAACTGCTGCCGTTGTCTGCTGATACGCTCTTTTAAATCTGCAATTAGACAAGACTTAAAGAAAACATCTTGAGTTATGACGTACTTTAAGGGTCGGTAATATATATATATATATATATATATATATTTTTAATAATTATCCCTTCTGATTCTAAAATAATTTATACCTTTACCCAAGTGAAGTCTAACAACGGATCAAGCTATTTCCTTCTTAGGAGTCAATGTATTAAACGTCCTTGAATGGCGTCACTACATTGGTTCTAAGATATTCCGTTTAAATCTTAAGATATGGAAATATTCAGATTACTGTAGTACTTATCTATGTTATCGATTATCGCGTTTTTCCTGCTCTGAGTCCATTTTAAAAAGCAACATCTCGCACAATATATGTTGTCGTGAGACTCTAAAAGCCAGTTGCACAAACGCCCATTAAAATTTCCATTAGTTTGAAGCGACATAACCGATACAAATTTTGCCATCCATTATAGCTTAAAACCTTAATGGACGTTTCTGCAACTGACCGTAAATCTTTGTTGCTTTCATAAAAAGAATTAAATTAATATAGTATAATGTGTGATCACTTCAAGAAAAATTGATTAAATATCAAACAAAAACAAACTATTTATTCAGTTACACTTGTGAAAGTCGAAACTATGTCATCAGTTCTTAAATCTAGTTCTCAAAGACCTCGTACTGAGAAGAATCGGCGAGAAACATTGAATTCAAGGTTTTTGACTGTATCAATACTTTAATAAACGATCGTATCACCTGTAGTGGAGAGCGCCTCCTCCTCCATATCGTACTCGTTGCCTTCGGAGCCCATCAGACTAGCTCCATCTTGCAGCACTCGTTCTAAGTCAAACGTTTCACAACGCAACCGCCCACCGTCGTCCGGGTCCAGCGTCTCCTCTGCAAACATTAAAAATAATTAATACGCAAAACTTTAACAGTACATTAGATTACCAGAAAATGTCGAACATTTGCATCTGATTTTGAATTTTATCCCAATTATAATGGACTTCCGCATAGCAGTTAATTTCTAATTGTGTCATACGAATAAAATTCCTACAATGGAATTTATCATGAACGCCAAAGGATATCCTGTTTGTACATATACATAACACAAACATTACTGATAATGTTGTTTTAGTTGTGTTATTTTCTTGTAATACAATACTTTTGGCTCGAAAACTATCGAGCGGGAAGCAAATTTAAATCGAAACTATGTGTTAAAATATCTGTTTCTGTTCACGGAGGTAGTTGGCACTGTGCAAATTATCATTACAATTACACAGTTCAATTGCACTTGATAAGTGTTGTGCTAAGGATAGAGTAGTGTATTCGACACCTGCGTCCTCTGCAGCATATGTGTCCGACCTCTGTGTTAAATGTCACCGACAATGGAGGGTTTTTTATTTATTATGTAATTAATGTCTTGTAACTGTAGTTTATTATTATGTAATTATAATTGTATTGTAACTAAATAAATATTGTAATGTAAACGCATATGGAATATCTTGTTACAAATGCTGTGCATGTCTGTAACTGTCATAAATGCCAGATAAGTGTCATTTAAAAGGTTTACTGAATTATTTTTGTATTTGTGATGTTGACGTGCCTTGAGTAAATAAATAAATTAACCAATTAAGGTATCATGGAACTTTCAACGCAAAATTAACGTAACAAACGACGTTAAAACTCAATTTGTTGCGGCGAATTTTGAATGGCAATTTACTGTCTTTATACACATGACCATAGCATTTATATACAAAACTATAGCATTTGTGTAAGAAACAACATCGACCCAGACTTTCTATAATGAAATCCAAGTCGTTCATTGAAAGTGATGACGACAGGCGCCTTTTCAGGCATCGTCGCTGAGCATATTCTTCGTAAAAAACAACACCGATAGTGGATATGCCTTCTGTCATTTGACTAGTCATCCTTCTGGGGTGGATACGGAGGGACCTACATAACCTCAATACTGCCGAGCAGATGGGTACCTCAAAATAAGCCACTGGAAATGTCGGTGTAGTGAGTCTGTCACGATTACCACGCGAACATACCAATGTGTACAGACAATTTTGCAATATTATATATAAAATTAAGTATCTACACATTAAAAGGATTTGTATTGAATATTGTATAGAACATTTGAATATAATGACAGAATACCTATTAATGTCGAATATAGGAACCGTCATAACAGAACCAGCCATCAAGGTCACCACTTGAAGCCATTTTGGATCTGGGTCAAGCAATCACTACGAGAACCCTATTTATTAAAGTCAATTTTGTTTGCGAATGGCCGGCGCGGGGCGTTAATACTGGCACAGGACTTATGGTAATGACCTTAAGGAGGAATCTTGCTGTGTCACAATCATAATGCGAGTAAAGGATACTTATTTTACAGTGAGCAGTCTGTCATTTCTAGAATTAAAGCCAACGTTATATAATCATCTAGTGGTGGAGCATTACACCACATTTCCGGCATACCCAGGATTTAGTCTTTATTGCTACTGTCGCGGAAACTTTCCGACGTCGTTTCAAGTCTAGGTTAAAATTAATGTGTACGTGGAAATTTATGCTCAGCAGTGGGCGTCATACATCATCATCATCAGCCTTCTTTCGTCCCCACTGCAGAGGCTCAGGCCTTCCTTATGGATGGTTAAGGATGACGGGCCATGAACCTCCATGCAAGCCCAATGCAGATTGGAGGGTATTAAAGACTGCAAATGCAGCCGGGACCAACGGCTTAACGTGCCTTCCGAAGCACGGAGTAGCTCGAGATAATCATTTTTTGGTCACCCATCCCGTGACCGACCCTTGCGAAAGTTGCTTAACGACAACGATCGTGGGCCGCGGTGCTTATCCACTACGCCACCGAGCTACTCGTCATACGGCTGATGATAATTATCGATGAAGTGAAATAATGTAGATAGCAAAGATGATATGAGTGTACTATACAGGAGTAAGCTTACATGTAAGCTTAAATTTCAGCTAAAATAGTACTGGAATTGTATCGTATGTCACTTTGTAGAATAGGAAAACCATTAGTTTCGTTCGGTTTCGATCCATTTTCGATTCGATTTAAACAAAATTTATTTAGTAGAATTGGCCCCCAGGACATGTTTTAGTTTAGTTTTGAGAATGATACAACGAATTTGCCACAAAGATATTTTAGGGACAAACTAAAATCTGTCGTTGTGTATCCCACAAAAAATGCAACTAACATATTTGTGTTGTCAATGACAAAGCACCCAAGTAAACATTGCAGACACTCGAAAATAATTCAACAGTTAATCCTATAAGTAGTAATATAATACGTAACTTATCTAATCTTCAGTTAATAAGTTTTCTTTGAAAACCGAACCGATGTAAATTACAATCGCGTTATACACAAATTATTTAAATCAGACCAGATTGCTTGTAAAGGAATGTTAATTTCCATTTTATACAGATTGAGTGAAAGTCAGGACATATCGAGCATCTTATTTATCATGAAAGACCTAACATTTACTTTATATTAAATGCAAAGATTCATAAATTTAAGGAAGAGCTATAACATAAATATGCCACAGGAAAATTTGAACATGGATAACTTATTTCATGTGTAAAAAAGTGATTATACATCTAAAAATAATATGTATTCGGAACTTGACTATCATTTGATAAAATTAAGTTCATCGAACTAAATTTTTTCACTAACCTTTGCTTATTTTTTTTTATCATAGAATTAAAATATTAAAATATATATATATATATATATATATATATATATATATATATATATCTGAAAATTTATCTATTTACATACGTCATTAACTTTGCAGACTTACCCTTAATCACAGTAAACGGTGGCGGCTGCCATTCTGGTACATTAGCTAATATTGCTTCAACGGCCTGTTAAAGAAAACAAACAAAAAAATAAATGAATAGTTAAGATCAAAATGACAAATTTCGACTCGACCATTTAAGAGGTTGAAATGAATAAAGTTAATTTTATTTATAAGTGAGCGCGTCCAAATTTCGGAACATTATGTAACATTATTAATAAATAAATAATTATTTTATTACTTATTTTCATCACACACAAAAGTGTTAGAAATTGTGCAAATAATGTACGACTAAGTTTATGCTATAATTTCATAGACCCATTATAAAGTACCTAGGTAATATTTAATAATAAATACGAAAGAATCGTGAAAGAAATTTTGATATACATACCACCCAACCACCCAAGGTAAATGAGCCACTAAGCCTTGTTAGTCTTACTTTAGCCACCGAACCTACCTACCATCTGTATGTGCATCAACAATGATGATAAGGGTTGAAGATGACTCATCAGCCCTTTTACGTCCCCACTAAAGGACCTTCCTGATTGATGGTTGACGCTGACCCAATGCGGATTGGAACATTTAATCTATCTAAATAGACAACGCAGACTGTTGTCCCTAGACATTGACACGTTATGTGTCAGTAGGTAGTATTACTACCACCCATAAATAAATTTAAAATTCATGTAAAGAACATACGAGGGCGGGATGATAAATAGCTAGCCTAGCATAGAAAAACTTGAATTAGTGTGTTTAAAGTATATTTATTTTTCGACATAGTCTCCTTGAAGCGCTATACACTTCATCCATCTATGCTCTAAAGCCTTGATGCCATCCCTGAAGTGGTTTTCTTCAAGCCCTTCAAAATAACTATCCACGGCAGACATCACCTCGCTATTATATTCAAATCCTTGTTCTTCTTGTCAGCTAAAACGTTCATGTCCTGAACAAGTGGCAGGGGAAAAAAATTTTTGGACGATTCAAAAGTGCTTGTAATAGTCTACTTGAAAGATATTTCCATTTCATTTCATTTATAATACTCGTAACAAAAAATAGCGCTACATGTTTGTATATTTCTATCCTTATCTTTATTGATATATTTCAGGTTTTCTCAATTGAGAAAATTATAATTTATTAGATAGTCCTTACTAAATTACTTTGTTTACATAGACGACGTGCTACAAAATATCAATATTCTCTAATAGCAACAGTATTAGAGGGTGGCTCAAGGTTTCAAGGTTTGGGCAAGTGTGGGCATTTACTTCGGACGCCAGTCTTACCAAATTTAACCTACCTACTTAATACCTATTTACGGGCATGCTTCAAAATCCCTAATCAAAACAAAAGAAAAAAATCATTCAAACCGACGCGCAGGACCTGTTTTTGATAAATAAGCGGCAAGTTCGTTCGTTCATCTAATATACCTAATATCTTAAACGATGAAGTTATACAACGATAGCAAATTAACCATAAAACTAGTTTCCATGTCACTGCGCAAATTGAGATATGTATGAAATTGATTACATTTCATGATTTCAGTGAGCCCAGTGATTAGAGTAATTTTCTATGCGAATATTTTGCTATCGAGATACATTAATGTAATTGCTTTTGATGACATAATGAGACCAGTAATGTTTATTACAATTGCTGATACTACTAATTTAAACTGTTTTTTTTTAAATATATGAGTAGATACATATATTGAAAACATTAAAACAGCAAGATAAGATGCACGCACAGTTCTCATTCACCCATATTTTCTAAAGATAATTTATTCGGAAATTATTCACCCGAGAACGCTCGAACCGAATTTTAAGTAGACTGTCCACTCTGAATTAAGAATTGCGCACCCGAAGTCATGATTATATTTATTGTGCCGAGTCCACTTACCATCGATGCTGACGGCTACGATACATCTCATTTGGATGCGTAAATGAAGAAAAGACAATATGATAGGTTTTCGCACTCAAAAATTTCCTTTCAAATACCGGATTTACTGAAAACCTTATATTTTACACATTTTTTTCCTTCATATACAACGTGTCCCAAAATTCAACGATAAGCGGGCGCCAAGAGGTAGACCTGCTCATGTGTACTTATGGAAAAATAAGAAAAAAATTATATCTTATTAATCTTTTTTATTATAAAATAAAATTCGAAAATTTTCGAAAGAGTTGTAGCGAATAGTAGTGCTACTTAGGTATCCGATACCAAAAAAAGATTGAACATAATTGAGAAGTTGTGGTCGTGGTAGTTGAAAATATCATAAAAGGTGTAAATTTTCGAAGATTTTCGAATTTAATTTTATAATAAAAAAGATAAGATATAATTTTTTTCTTATTTTTCCATAAGTACACATGAGCAAGGGTACCTCTTGGCGCCCGCTTATCGTTGAATTTTGGGACACGTTGTATATGTATATTTTTCACATTTTTTTCCTTTGAACATAAACTGACCAAGCGAAATATAACAATATAATAGCGCCGGTATATAATCATAAACCTAAAAATATGCTTTCTAATTTCTCAAACTGCATCCTTAACTTAAACTAGACACTAAACGGCTTTGTGGAACCGGTCGCGTAAATAAGCAGCAGATACCATTTCCGACTATACTTTCCCCACTCTTGGCATCTGGAGTTGTGTTGATTTTTTGTTGTATTATTGATTATTTTATAAATATTCTAATACAGACACAGAAAGTAAAATAGGTACATTACAAATATAAAACGTTATTTACTACCATGAACTTGTAACTGCAGATTTATTTATACATAAAGATTCCTACTCTCTGCAGCGCCTACAATGGTTAGTTAACAGTGTTGTTGTTTGTACACATTCGCGTCAACAATGCACAGTTTTACCAAACACATGGCAACAATATCTGCATGATTGTCATATATATGTATGGCACTTCCTCGGGGAGAGTTGTATGTAGTCATTCAAGTTAAGGAGCTCACAATTAATAATTTGCCAAACTATTGAATATTACTACGAATTTGGTGGACACACGTTTAGTAAAATTTATCAATAAAACATTCAACAATAAGAATTTTGAAGAAATATGTAGGTATTACAGGGCGCGCTCGAATAACGAGCCATGAAAACACTTTTATGAAGCAATAATAGATCTTGTCAATATCATAAAGAACCAGCCAAGAGAGAGTCGGAATCGCGTACCGAAGGTTCTGCACAAATATTAAATTTTAAAAACCATAGATTTTTAATATTTTAAAAAGCGGTAGACATTCGTAGGTAAATTATTATTTATAATGGAAAATATATATGTACATATTGGCACGAAACCCTTAAGGCGCGAGTAGGACTTGCTCTTGGTGTTTTTTTTTTTCATTTTAATAGGTGAAAAAATATCAAATGAATATATAATAGCGTTTATCAAAAGATGACGATTCAAAATAGCTTCCAGTCACATTATGATAACTGCAATATGCGGTGCAGAATTGTTGCAGCTCCACATCAACTGATATCTACACACGTGACCGTACCTACTTCCTGAGATACTTCTTGCGGGTAAGTGTATTTATTGAATTATCTTCAGTGCCCTTCCCTATTCCCTATGTCAACCCGTTTAACTCGATAAAATCAACCTATATCCTATGTCCTCAAGTCAACTCTGTTTAATGGGTTAGTTAGTTAGGTTACACAGACCTACTTCCGCGTGAATTATATTTAATCAAAAGGTGAGCCTAATGTTTTTATAATATATCAATATTTAGCAGTTTCTTGCATAATTAAGCAGCTTTAAGAGAAGTATTAGATCTCATTTTTTTAATGCTTAATAACGGTTCTTCATTTTGAAAAAAAAAATTGACAACCTTATTTCTTCTTCGCGACTCACTTATATCCTATGGAATAAATAGATATCCAGCAAAATAAAAGTTTATACAAGGCTCATGTTGTTTAGTTTCATGTTTTACTATGTCAACAATACTAAATAATGAACTTTCGTTCAACCGCGCCTAAAGCGTGTAATTGGACGTTTGGTCGATCCGCATCCGATCGTAAGAAATGTCGTTGGTTTAGAATAGCTCTTGCCGTCCGATTTTTTAGACACGATTGATTAGGTGAATACGCTTCGACGATACTCCGATCGAACCACCTTAAAATCTGCTTTATTCATAGACGTGAATTAGAAAATGGGTTCAACGACTAAATCGCTGCGATATCGTTACTAGTTTCGTTACGTGAATTGGGCAGTAGCCCTGCAGTGGGGACGTAAAAGGGCTGGTGATGTGATGTGAAATACCATGTACTAACCGAGGAAATGTCTACAGCAGGAGTAAATAGGAAATCCTAAGAATATAATGCAGAAGCGAAGACATTCAATTCTTCAATTTAAGCTATGCTTGCCTGAGATGCAGCGATCCTGGTTTCCCACGCAGGCGAGCGTAGATGTTTCATAAGTCGACCGAGTAAGCGGTGTAGCTCTTCGGGGTGTGCCTTCTGTACCTCGCCGAGTTGCCGGGCTGCCGCTCGCCTCGTGGCCGCCCCGGTGCCTGCTTCAAGCAGCACAAACAACCGGTCCAACCTACCACAAAATCTTCATTTCAAACATCTGCGTTCGCAGGTAAATACTTTTGTCAATCACGTAAGACGATTTGATAGCAATCTTAGCAGGATTTTGATAAAATATCAACATTTGAATATTTATTCGACAATGAACTGTTTGAAATCGTGACTACGAAATCTATAATACAAACGTCACAAGGAATAAATAAACGCTATATAATTTTTACTGTAAATCAAAACATATTTGCAGAAAATATTATTCCAAGTAACTTAAACTTGACAGGGAAACAAGATTGATCCTTTTAAAGAACGACGTAAACTCACCGCGAGGTCATGCTGACAGCTTTATGATCAACTCAGATTACATTTACTATTCTGTAACAAAACAGATGACATTAAAATTTAAAAATGGTAACTTTAGCTCCTGGCTCTGGGTGGAAGTGCTAAATATCGCATACGTACGTACACATTATAAGTACCTACGCGAACTTTATTCTTCTCCAAATAGATGAGTCCAGTCATCAACTCTATTATACTTAATAATTCTGGACCGTATATAAAACACAGATCGGACATCCTCTAAACTAGAAAAAATCCGGGGTACCCGCACTGGTTGGCAATCCTGGTTGCAGATTATTACTGTATGATATAGGGGTCAGCTGGTTCTCAATATCAGTACTACCATCACATCATCGACGCAACGTTGATTTACTTTGTTTACTTTCGCTTTCCAATTTTTGTGCAATTATTTTGATCTTTTTTGCTTTGATTTCTGGACAAAAGTACAGAATATATCGAAATTAATGCCATGTATAATTAATAAAAATATATAAATTATCCAATAATCGTGAAAATATTATAAATCTAGAATGTCAAAATTTCATTTAATATTATGTCTAAGTGATTCATAATGACAATAAAAAAACGATATAAGTAATTAATAATAGGGGTTAAAGTATGAAATTGCCGATTTGTACTGAAAATCAAAATAGTTACCATTATTATCTACTAGCTTTCGCCAGCGGCTTCGCCCGAGAACCCTAGGGAAATGTTTAGTGGGATTACAAATATCCTTTTATCTAAGTCAGCTAATACCCTATCTGTATACCAAATTTCATCAAAATCCGTTCAGTAGTTTCGGCGTGATTAACGGACAAATATCCAAACATCTAAACATCCAAACAAAGAAACTTTCACATTTATAATATTAATAGGATACATTGCTGCCATCTAATACAAAGGTCATTTATTCCTTTGCGATAGAACTCTGAGGATCTAGACTGTACAAACTGTGTGAAAGCATTTTGTACTGCCTTCTAGGAAGAAAACTTCTTGTCGCGTAGATAATTGTGCAAACAAAAAAATTGGTAGTCCGTTGGAGCAAGGTCTGGCGAATACGGAAGAAGACGAATGGTTTCTAACTGCAGTTCCTGAAGGGTCAAAACGGTTTCTCGTGCTGTATGAGATCTCGCGGTATCGTGGAGCAATAATGGTGAAGATCGATTCATGAGTCAGGGTTGTTATTCTGCTAGTTTTACCAACATTGTTCGAGTTCGGCACAATAGACATCTGCCGTTATTGCTGGACCAGACCGGAGAAAACTATAGGGAATAACACCATGCTGAGACCACCAAACAGTTACCTTTTTATTGGTAAGTTTTGATTTAGGACACTGTAATGGCGTTTGACCTAGGGTCAGCCATTGCATTTTTCTTTTACGGTTATCATAAAGAATCCACTTTTCATCACATGTCACAATTCGATCCAATATTCCTTTTTTTCTGTACCGATTCAACAGGGCAACACAAGTTTCAATACGCGTTTCTTTCTGCAGATCAGTCAAATCATAAGGCACCCATTTTTCGTTTTTTTTATTTTATTGATTTGACGCAAATGAGTCAATATTGTGGGGTAAGGTAACGTTAAACCATGCCGCTAGTTCCTGGGTAGTTTGACTAGGATATTGCGGGCCGTTTCTGCCGCGTTACTTCCGCGTCGGAACTCATATTCAACAATCGCTCGAATTTTCGCAATATCCATCTTTGTTGTCTAAGTTGAATAACAAAAACAATTGAAAGTCGATATTCCAATGTTTCACATTTTTTAAAAGAAGAACATCATAGAAACCATGTGGAAAAAAGTATCTTTCGGAAACCTCAAACCATGAAGATTCTATGTCAATTCAAGGAACCTATTACAATAAAACGTCAATTTCATACTTTAACCCCTAATACCTAAGGAAATGCCTATTCAGTAATAAAATATTGCGTGAGCACCTGGATCTGGATGCGAAAAGAAAAAGAATTTAGAAGTCGTTATAAATATGCAACCTTAAGTAGGTATTGCTCAATTTCTATAGAATAAGAGCATAGTCCTAATATGTGTGAAATATCATTAGAAATATTTATGCAATACACTTGTTAAAGACGCACGTCTCGTCAAATTAATATTAAAATAGTTTAAGTTATGATTGTATATAGGTACAATTAAATAATACTGTAACGTCCGAGCACATTACTATAGGTAGGTTTTTCTGATCGAGACCAGCATTGAGTGAGTATCATAGTATTTCGTTAGAAGTGATTCGATGTATGTTTATTGAAAATAAAATCAAGTCTGAAGAATTGTACCAGCTTTTCATTGCGCCACCCATCTCCACCATTAGAATTAAGTTACTAGAGCATCTCATAGTATATTTATTCCCATAGTATAACTGTAGTTTAAAATTAGTAAAATAAGCTAATTAAATGATATTAAGAGATGATGTTTTACAAAGGGTGAAAGACTTTAAGGTATTGCCTCGATACAGGGGTCTGATAGGGTATTGCCTCGCTAGAGCGGTCTTATAGTAAAAATTATTTGCCTACCCTACAAGTTACTCTGGAAGTGGGTAGTGTGAAATGGCACTAGTCTAAGTGGGAAATTCCGTCTCGCTCTACCCCACGTAAATACGTCATACAAGAATGGGGCGCAACTTAGGGCCAGTTTTTTAATCCGTGGTTAACTCAACCATTTGTTAAAATCTTTGACAAATGGTTAAATATCAGGAAAATATGTTTTTTGATTAATAGTTAGGGCGCTTGTGCACTACACTGAATTTTCATGTCCGGCGGTCCGATTTTTTCAGGTCCGATATGTCAGGCCATATGTAGGTAATGCGCGCTTGTGCACTGTCAGGAATTTTACCGTTCGGAATTTTACTTTTCTCTATTCCGGACCGGTTTTTTCAGGTCCGTGATGGCGGCAATGAAAAACGTGTTTACGCTTGTGCACTGCTGTGACCGCGATCCGGAAAATTCATAAGGAATAGGCTTGGGAAAAAATAATTGATTTGAATCGATATTTATTTCGGCAATATTGTTAATTTCCAATAAACTTATAATCGATATTTATTGTTGATTATAAAATGCTATATTTTATATGATGATTTAATATATCACTGCATATGCTTTGGCAAACTCGGTATAGTTCTATTTTGATCAGCGTATGGTTCTAGTATCGATACTTAGTTAGATTTTAGAATCGTATTAAAAGTATCGATGGCTTAAGGTAAGATAAATAAGTGTTGTTACGCTTAGACGCATAAACAACTGAACCCATCTGAATGGAAATTAATATAGTAAATAGACTTAACTTTAAGAAAGGACAAAGGCTACATTTTAACCCGAAAAATTGTATATCAAATTTTAAAATATCATTATCAAATTTTTTTAGACAATTGATAAGTATAGATAAATATTTGACAACAGGAGTAATAATAAAAAATAAACAGAAGACTAACAAAAGTAATTAAGTGACACTCAATGTCTTTTTCGTATTTAATAAAATTTTATATGTATGTTTGTGTCATTAATAAATTTAAAAAAAAAGAAGTATTCTAAGGGAATAATATTTCTGCTCAAAGAAACTACACCACGCGTATAAAATTATGCCTATAAATAATACAGTCAACTGATCTCGTAAAGTTCATTTAGCTTAATAATTCTCCGCTGACACGGCACTAATTTCGATTTGTTTACGAAATGGCGCCACCGATTGGTCTATCTCTGTAATCGCTGAAAGTTGTTTTTACAAAACTTCAAAAAAAACTAGCACGTTTAAAAATTTAAACATCAAGTACTAGACCATTATCAGTAATTTTATTCTAATGTCACAGATATTTTTAGCTATTGTATGTGAATAATGCTGTTCCTAAATTAGTAAGGGTATAAGTTTTTACATCTGATAGTAGTCATCCGATAGTAGTAAAAAAAAATGCTTTCGTCTTGCCATAATTTATTATGGTTTATGTAAAACGATCAGACCATTATTTAGGTACCTTTCTACGTCTTCGAACGGAATTACCGACGTTCCAAAAATCTCATCGTTCCTAGCGTAAGTGACGTGTAGTTTCAAAGAGAGCTGCCCTACACTGCGCCGCTCCGATCAGGAAAAAAACGGACAAGTGCACAAGCTACTCATCCGAGTTTTTCATGTCATTCCGGACCGGAAAAAATCGGACCGCCGGACCTGAAAATTCAGTGTAGTGCACAAGCGCCCTTAGGCTAGCCAATTGTCAGAATTACAACCATTTGTCAAAAAATTTAACCATCACTGGAAGCTAGGTTAAGTTAATGACCAATGGTTAAAATAACAGATGTACAACTGCGTTCTATTTACTTGGTTCCTTGTTATTGTTTTTTACGTTGTTTTTATAACCTACATGTCTTCATAATGAATTTGGACATTAGCTATTTTTGGGATTTCGTTTTATGATGCAATTTCATAGGAAAATATTCATTGTAATTTTTGGGTTATAGCGTTATTGAAAATAAGTTATATTTTTATCTTGATCATCCTTAGTATATTTGTACTATATAAAATATTTTTTCTTGTTTCCACGGCCATATGCCAAATTATTTAATTATTAAAAATCTTATAAAATCCACGAATAGGCAATACAAAAGGTAAATATACCTACAGTATATAAAATACATATTCCTCGATTTATTTTCCAACATTAAAATCCCACC